CCCCAGAACGTGCCCAGCTCAGCTTCACGGCACCGGTGCCTTCAGCCTCTTGCCTTTTTCTCATCATCCTCAGCAGCTTTCTTGAACTCGTGCTCAAAGGAGCTGGCCAGCTCGTTGAAGAGTCCCACTTCTTCACAGTTCTTCAAGAACCGAGTTGGGGTGGGAGTCTGATCTGTTTGGGTCACAACACAGAGCACCAGTTAAAAAAAAAGGAGAGAAAATGGATTTGAATCCCCCCCCCTTGCCCACCCCTCGCTGAGCCTGGAGGCTCTGTCACTGAGATGTGTGTTGGGTTTGCAAAGCCAGCCCTGATTCAGAACGGGGAGAAGGATTTTGGGTTGGTTTGGCTTCCCTGGGAAAGGCTGTTGAATGAAATAAACCTTCCAGAGGGGCTGCAGCGTGGGGATTTCTGTGGAATTCCCTCCTGAAGGTCCCTTCCTGGCCTCTCCCCCACCCCACCGGGGGGTTTTGTCTGTCCTCAGCTGCATTGCTGCAGCCAGGAAGGAAAATAGTGGGGGTTTGATCTCCCTGAATGTTAAAAATATAGAGATAAAGAGACAGGAGCAGAATGGAGCTGGGCAGAGCTGCTCCCCTCCCTGGAGCTGGAGCGCATCCGAGGACAGCCGGCTCCGTGGGAGTGCTGATAACCACCAGCCCTGGCCAAAGTGATCCCTCTGGGGCCCGTTTCCCACCCCATTAACACGTCGAGGCAGGATCTCTCTGGCCCTGGCCCAGGCTATAAAGCAGGAAGAAATCTCCCAGCCTCTTGTTTCTCCCCCTGACGCGTGGCCGGGCGCGACGCGGAGCCCGGCACGAGGACGTTGCACCCAAAAAATCCATCTGGCACCAGGATTGAGGAGCACCCAGGGGCTCCCTGCTTCAGCCTGACCTGCACACCCCTCGGTGTTCCACACAGGAGCTGAGCTCTGTGAAAAGGGCTCATTTGGAGGCTCGAGGGCTTCGCCTCGCCGGAGCCACGCTCCATCTCCGGGTGCCTTCAAAGCCTCCCTCTGGGGGCTGTTCATACAGCAAATTCCCCCTCTGCACTACACCAGGGATCACCACCGACCCCAGGGCCTCGGCAGGGGGCTGGTTTGCCTCTTTTTTAACAGCTCTCAGGGCTTTTTTTGGACCGTTCCCCCATTTTTGGTGCTTTGGAGGACCCGAAGCTCCAGCAGAAGCTTTCAGGTCGCTGCGAAGCCGAGGTGTGGAACCTCTTTCCTCCTGAGAGATTGACAGCAGCTCCTTCCAGCCACAGCATCACCCCAGAAGACCACGTCCCTGTTGAAATGAGCCTCTCTGCTGCCAGCTAGGACCAGCAGAGAGAGAACAGCCCTTCACCACCTCCACCCAGTCCCCCTGCTCGTTAACAAACGGGCTGCTGCCCCGGCCGCTGCACAAAGCGAGAGAACAAGAAAACCCAGGGAGAAAATGGTGGCTGGAAAAGACAAAAAAAAGCCAGGAGGGACGTGGGGTAATAATGCCCAGACTGAGCTGCTCAAAGCCAGGAGGTTTTACAGCCCTCACAACCCCCCCCAGGCAGCTCTGCCTGCCTGTGGTAAACCCTGGGCTCGCCCCGACCACGATGAAATTAGTGTGGGTTGGGTGTTTTTTATTTTGTGGTTTACCCCAGAGGAGCTGGGAGAGGAGGTTAGAGCTTGATCCTTGTGCTAAAAATGAGGTGTTTTGTCCCACCCGGGGTTTTACCTGCGAGAGGTTTGTGGGCAGGAGGAACAGGCAGCTCAGGGAGCTGGGGGGATGAGGGGGTTTAACGCTGCACCCCTGTCAGAGCAGCTGGGGCTTGGCTGGAGATGGGACTGAACCCCATTTCTGCACCCCCACGCCCCCCCAGTTTACCCAGCAAACACAAACCCTCCTGCTGGTTAGGAAAAAGAGGGGGGGACTGAAGCAAAAACAACCTTCAGCAATGGGGAGGTTCCTTTCAGCCCCTGCCCCAAATTCTTTGCCGTCAGATCCCCTTCTCCTGATCCCACCCGAAATAAATCATCGCTTTGGGAGCCTGGGAGCTTTCTGCCCTCCCCACGACGGCTGCGTGAGCTCTCCCACAGCTCCCAGGAACTCAGAGGCTGCAGGAAAGCAGCTGGATCATCATCCCCTCCTGCAACACCCCGTTTGGGCTGGGGAGGAACCCGGGGAAAGGCTGCGGGGGGGTTCTCGCAGCGGACGCTTCGTTCCCCTTCCCCATCCTCAAAGCTTTTGGGGACACGTCTCCTCCTCTTGTCCTCAGCCCTTTCATCCACACAAGCCTGCAGGAAACAGGGGATGGCCCGGGCAGGGGAATATCTGCGAGGGGCAGATGCCAGATGACAATAAATGTGTGGTTTGGGTGGGGTTTTTTTTTGCTGCGGACTCACCCCGGGCTGCAGCGCTCGGTGCCCGTTTAATTTATTAACTGCTGGCCTAAAAGCTCCAGAAAATTGACACCTGGGCTGAGGAGAGGAAGGTGGATTTGTCAGGTTTTACCTCACGGCGTGGAGAAAAGCAGAAGACCTTTTGTCTATAAATCTCCTCGTCTCAATAAAAAAAAAGGGTGAGAGCTCCAAGAAAAAAAACACCAACCCCAAACCCCACAAAACCTGATACCGCCATAAAGAGAGGGAAAAAAAAAAACACCCCAACCAAACAACTTGGAAGCCTCTGGCTTTCCTTTCCTCCTGATTAAATGCAGATCACAAGAGGGTTTTATGGGAGGTAGGGACGTTTTGCAGTGCATCTGGTGCCTGGTATTAATCTTGCAGTCAGGGGGGATATTGCTGGGCGGCGTTTTGGGCTCGTACCTGCGATGATGACCGAGTCGGTGCGAGCGGGGCCGAATTTCAATGTCATCTCGTGCTTGTGTTTATGGACTGCCAGGTGGTCCTCGTTCGTGAACCTCTGAAACGAAACCAGTTTAGAAAACGGTGAATAAAGGCAGGAGGGGGGTTTGTGAGGACGTCCTGCAGCAGGGGGAAAGGGAGGGAGGGGGGTGAGAAGGGGAGAGCGTTGAGCGAAGACGGAGCGGGGCAGACGGAGGAGGTGGAAAAGGGGAAATTTGTTACACTGGGAGACAAAATATTTTGAATAAACCTTGCTGGGGGGTTTTTTAAGCAGAAAAACCTTAAAAAACCACGTTGGCTGCAGCTGATGGGGGAGAGCAAACCCGCAGCCCTGCTGGTGTGGGTTGCTGGGG